CTCACACACACACACACACACACACTTCCTCCATAACAATCCAGTGAGACACAGACATGCAGGCAAACAGCGAGCAAACAAAGACAAATGTGCTAAAACAGAAATACGTTTAGCAGCAGCCGTGGAGAGTTTATTTGACAGGTTTAAAAAACTTCTGGAGTAGAAAAGAAAGTGCAGCATCCATCCATCCATAGAGGAGTGAGCCTCTTCAACACACACACATACACACACACACACACACACACACACACACTGATCTAATAATGACTGCGAGCGCTGAACAAACATAAAGAGCAATAAAGCCAGAGACGAGCTAAATAATTTACATCTGTGCATCGGTAAAGAGACTTAAAGTGGCTAATAACCAGAGCTGAATAATGATGCTATTAGAGACTCAACCCTTCAGACGACTGGATATCGAGCGGTCACCATTACAGCCTGTTTACATCCAATGCAACTAAACCAAACAACAGTTACACACATCAATACTGTTAACACGGAGTCTGACACTCAAATTCAGTCATGCATTCAAAATCTCTCTTTTTGGGTTGTTTATCTATTTCTCACCAATTAAAAAAGCTTTTAAAGGGAACATCATCACAATATTTTGTCTCTAAAAGATCTTTTGTGTATAGTAACACACCTGCTGTTAGATCAAATGCGAGATGACCATCAAACACTACCCAGAACGCATTTCAGCATGAGTCCATCTCTCTCTCTTTCAGTGCTGAACCCTTTTATTCTTCCCTATAGTCTCCTGTACTCGTCCGCTGTCATTCCTCGCTCTATAATTTACACTGCTGATCTGTTCCTCCTTCCACTGGCATCCCGAGAGGATCCGGAGTGTGTGTGTGTATAGTGTGTGTGAGAGTGTGTGTGAGAGTGTGTGAGAGTGTGTGAGTGTGTGAGTGTGTGTGTGTGAGAGTGTGTGATTGTGTGTGTGTGTGAGAGTGTGTGAGTGTGTGTGTGTGTGTGTGTGTGTGTGTGAGTGTGTGTGAGTGAGTGTGTGTGTACGCACACACGCACACACGCACACACGCACACACACACACAGGTCAACCTCTCATATTGTGTGATTCTCTCCAGTTCATGCTTAGTCTGATGGTCTCTGACATCGCAACCTATATATAATATTTGATATATTATCATTATAATTATTATAATATTTATATTACCAGTGTATAATATATATTGTTGATTGGGGTAAATTAGAGCATTTTAGGAAATTAAATAAACTTAAATTTAAGAGAATCTCAGATAGATATGAAAACGATCAATTAATTTATAAGAGAACTGATTTTGGAGCAAGAAATCTTGACTAACAGTAAAACCAGAACATAAAAATAACATGTTGGCAGTGAATTGAGAAAATATACCAGCCATATTTTTTTGTTTTTTTTCTGGCCATGAAACTGGCTGTGCATTATTTAATTACAAAACAGACTGAACAAATTGGCGAAACACATCTAATTGCAATTATTGTTTTATTTATATAGAAAAATTAAGCCACTAAAGAAATATCACTATTGAAATGTAAAGTATTTCATAATCATTTTAACTTGTATAATAATTATAACAATACTATTACTACTGCAACTAATAAAATACTATTTATTTAGCTCAAAGGTTTGTTCGTTTGTTTATTTATTCAAACGATAAAAATTATTTCAATAAATAAATATCACTATAATACTATTGAACTGTAAAGTATTTCATAATAACTCAATGCTTGTATTTTTGAGATCCAGCTGCTCTAAAAGACATCCAAAGTATATGTTATATATTACAAATGCAATTTGATTTGATATAAGCAACAAATCATGAACTCTGGAGTATTTTGAATCAAATGCATCAGTCAAACGGCTGAAACACGGACTGATACGCACAAGCGATGATGTTTCCATAACGGTTCTTCATGCGGTTCTCGTCTTTCTTGGCTGAATCCCAGGGGGCAGACTGACCCTCGAAGAAGCTCTGAAGAGACAGAAACACACAGAGAGACGGAGACGCATGAGAGTCCAGCAGAAACCACATCAGTCCAGCTCCACATCTCCAGTCCTGTAACTAAGGAGAAGGGTTAGGACGAAGCGTCAAAGCAGCTCAAACACACACATTTATTCCTCTTGGATCCGTTTGTCCATCCGCCGTCTCATCTGAGAATCAAAAACCTCGTCAGGAAAAGCACCAATCGCTGCTCATATTTTGCCTTGTTTTCCATTAAAAGATCTGCACATTCTTAAATAAAGAATACGTGATGAATTATTGAAAAGCACAGCTGAGGTGCGAGCTGTAATTTAACCAAAAACCTCATTACATTCCGTTTGATCTCTGCTTAAAAAAGAACAGCTTCAGCTTCTCAAGAAAACTCATGTTATTACTGAATACTGATTAAAAATGCATTTTTTTGCAACTCAAGCTGATCTGAGCGAACACACTCTCTCTCTCACACACACACACACACACACACACACACACGCACACCCACACACACACACACACACTTTAGACAATATTCTGTAAAGATTTGGAATTAATGGGGTTTCCAAACAGACAAATCTAAGTGAAAAGGGGAAGCCAGGGGAAGCAAAAAAAAAAGGAAGATAGACATAAAAGCAGATCAGAGAAATATTTTAAAAACTAACAGAATGCAGCATCCATTTGGATTATTATTGTTATTCGCCAACTCTTGAATCATGACTGTGCACATAAAAGACACGAAGTCATGTGACTCTCATCAGGCTGGACGCAAGTCACAAATCACAATCTACATCATCATCATAATCAACATCATCATCATCATCATCATCTGCGTCTCTCAGTTACAAAGGAACCAAACGAAGTGTGATCTTACCTCATTGATCTGCTCCACAGAGAACCAACAGAACCAGAAGAGAGAGACACAGTGTATAAGTCAACAATAACACAATCCACACACACACACACACACACACTCTCACACACACTCTCACACACACACACTTCATTATATGAACCCTGAAGGCTTCACAAAGGCCAGGCGTGTTTGTCAATGTGTGTCTGACATCTTCATCTATAATAGAGTAGACAGAAGCTCACTGACTGCACACACACACACACACACACACACACACACACACACACACTCACTGCATCTCCTGAAGAACGTGTCTGAGCGATCTGGGTGGTTTCTCACTGGTCCTGTTCACAGATATCTTTATTTTACTGTGTTTTATTTTACTATCACTGACACAGTATTACAGTTTTTGTTAATAATATAAAATTTATTTTATTTTTATATTTTACTTTAATTTTTGTTAAAGGTTAAGTAATTTTGTTGTGTCTTTATTATTTTTATTAATTTTATTTGTTTATTCATTTTTTATTATATTTATCATATTTTATACCTTTATAGTAGTTATTAAGGTTTATTCTTTTAGTTTTAGTGTAGTTTGGGTTCCCGCAATGCTATTTTAGTATCAAGGATATTCTATTATAGTTTTTGTTAATATTTTGAAATAAATTTATATTTTTTTTACATTTTTTTATATTTTGGATTTCACTTTAACTTTAGGTTAAGTTTTAGTGTTTTTGTTGTAGTTGTTGTCTGTCTGTTTGTTTTTGCCATTCATTCATTCATTCAATGTCTATATAGTATTATTCATTTTGGCGTGTTTGTCAATGTGTGTCTGACATCTTCATCTATAATAGAGTAGACAGAAGCTCACTGATCATGGAGAGGAGAACAGGAGCACAGCAGAGAGAGGAGGTGATGGGATAACCACGGGAGAGGAGAGAGGAGACGTGACAGGAGTGAATGATGATGATGATGATGATGAAGAAGATCAGTGCTTCTCAACCTCTCGGATTCAAAGCTCCCCGTCCAACACAATACGATCCCAACTCTTCATTTTATTTCTTCATAAATTATGAATTTATTATTACGTATAAAATAAAATGTATTTTATTTTATTTTATTTTATTTTATTTTATTTTATTTTATTTTATTTTTTACATTTTTTTATATTTTGGATTTCACTTTAACTTTAGGTTAAGTTTTAGTGTTTTTGTTGTAGTTGTTGTCTGTCTGTTTGTTTTTGCCATTCATTCATTCATTCAATGTCTATATAGTATTATTCATTTTTATTGATTAGTCTATAGGTTTAGTTTGGGTTCCTGCAGTGTTAATTTAGTATCACTGATAGACGATTATAGTTTGTGTTAATATTGAAAATTATTTTTTATTTTTATATTTTCTGTTTTCACTTTAATTTAGTTGTTTTATTTATTAATTTAATTTATTGATTGATTGATTGATTGCCTTGTTGCCCCTTTTGTTGCTTTGTTTTGTTGCCTTTTTATTACCAATGTTGGCTTGGTAAGTTTTATCTCACTTCAGTTAACATTTATTTTATTTCAAGTAACAAAAATGTTTTTTTTTTTTTCAACTTCTGATCATGATCAAGCATCAACATGAAGGTTTTATGTACATCTGTGTGCTTATACTGTGTTTTACTGAGTGGAAACGTGCAGAAATCATCTATAAATCTAGTTGTTTTTCTCCCTCTCTAACTTTTATATTCTCAGCACAGTAGAACGATCTCCTAATGAGACGAGCTTCTCTGTTCTCCCTCTTAAGAATCAAACGGTTATTAATGTATTGGAGAAGAAGAGCAGATGAATGACAACACTCCCTTTGACCATGTGACTCCCCAGAGACCAATGATTCATCTGCTTTCCATCATTAATTCATGCCAGAAAACTTCACTAATGTTCGATCACATCTAACCCACATTATCTGCATGACTGGCACTTTAGAACTTAAATATCATCTTTCATGTTTTTTATTTTCATTCGTTCAACTTATGAAAAATATTAGAAAATTATGCAAAACATCAAAACGACAATGAGCTTCATATGAAGAACCTCAGAGACTCCAGCAGAAAACTCCTGTAAGACTGGAAACACAATTCAATAAATATTTCATATTTTAATTCACCCCCTCAACAACAGTATTTTTCTTTGAAGAACTAAAAAAAATAAAATTGTATTTTAACCATGATTTACTTTGCGATTACAGATGACTCAAGAACTGTACATTCTTGAACAAAAAAATGTAAAAATAAAAAGGTAAAATAAAAATATATATTATAATTATAATATTATAATAAAGTTTTTATTTTATTTTATTTAGTTTTGTTTTACCATTAATCATTTTGTTACTCCAGAAGTTTCAATAACTGATTTAAAATATGACAAAACAAGCTTTAAATAAGCTAAAACATCTAAAAAGCAAGATATTTCATATTTTAATTAATCCCCTCAACAATTGTACTGTATTTTTCCTTGAAGAACCACAGTCTTGGAAAACCTGGATATATGAGGACAAGTCATGGAAATTAATAAAATCTTAACCCGAACATGGTATTGTGATTTTAGATGTTTCAAGAAATGTACATTCTTAAAAACAGTTATTAAGAAGGACAAAGTGCTTTCTTAGCACTTTAATAAACGTAGAATTTTATTTTATATTATTTTTTAATGAACTTTATGTGTTTTTGTTCTTGCATTTTATTATTTTATTACTATTATTATTATTATTTTGTATTTTAACCATGATCAATTTTGTGAGTCCAGGTGTTCCAAGACCTGTGTGTTCTTGAAAAAAAAAAAGCTTTTTTTTTAAAGCATATTAATGTAGATGAATTTAATTGAGCTTATTTTAATTATTTAATTTTAGCCATCATTTTGTGATACCAAAAGTTTCAAGAACTGTATTTCTTGAAGAAAAACAGATATTGAGGGTCAATAAATAAATAAATAAATAAATATGATTACTGTCACGAATCCGGTCCATGCACTTCCGTTCGCTCACCACCTGAAATCACCCGCTCACTACTATGGACTCTTGCACCACACTACTGTTGCACTTCACCCGGACTACAGTTCCCATTATCCATTGCACTGATTACACACACACAGCTGAATCCAATCAGACATGCTACATAAGCCATGGACTTCCTCTCTCTCACTGCCGAGTATTGTATAGCGTTTATCACTCTCCTAGCGATAGCTACATTACGGAGCCTTCTGCCCTAGTTTCTTGTTCACAGTTTCTAGTCTAGTCTAGTTTTGTCTTGAGATTACCTGTTACCTGATTATCTGCCTGTCTTAGAATTCTAACAAAACAAAGAGAAACACGCTCATCATCATCATCATCATGAATGACACTAACCATGAGTGAGCGGCAGTGAGGAGCAGTGTTAGGGGTAATGCATTACAAGTAACGCGAGTTATGTAATCAGATTACTTTTTTAAGTAACTAGTAAAGTAACACATTACTTTTTAATTCAGAAGGAAATATCTGAGTTGCTTTTTCAAATAAGTAACGCCAGTTACTTTGTTTCCATGTATTGACTGACAGCTCTGGTGTTGCCATGGTGACAGAAATCAGGAGTAAGTGCAGAGCGTTGTGTGTGAACATGATCTTACTGTAGTTCTAGACTAAATATGAACATGTATATACTCATCTCACCTGCACAAAAACACATTCAGTGTTCCTCAAAATCAATAAAAACAGTCAAATGCAAACTCAGAATATTATGCAAACCTGCAATATTTAAATATGTTTAATAAGACAAATATAATTTATTTATTTAATCCCATTTTATTAACCAATGTCTTTGCTACTGACTTCGATGATCCACTTACTAATACCATACTAATAAGCAAAAATTACACATTTGTGTTTCATTTTTGTTATTGCTGAATAGTGTTGAACTTTCTTCTCCTGCATCATATTCTTCATGAGATGTGTTTGAGCTGCGCCCTCTACTGTACAGACGTGAATTTACATTTCCTTCAGCCTGAGGACAATTGTACTGTATTTTTCCTTGAAGAACCACAGTCTTGGAAAACCTGGATATATGAGGACAAGTCATGGAAATTAATAAAATCTTAACCCGAATATAATATTTTTAACGAATTTACATTTTCCAAGTTATGCCACATGCTAAAATATATTATTGGGTATAAACTGAGTAAAACATATTTTCTCTGATCCAGTAAATCATGAATGACTGGAAAGTTTTGCAGACTGGTTAAAAAGAGCAGGAACCCTGAAGAACACTGAGCTCTTAAAACTCTTTAGAAACTAAAAATGCCTTGAAAGCAAAACTTTGTCTAGAGATCTTGTTTTGGATGTTGAGAGTCTAACACACGCACACACACACACACACACACACACACACACACACACACACACTTACACACGCATGCACACACACACACACGCACACACACGCACGCTTACATCATATTCTTCATGAGATGTGTTTGAGCTGCGCCCTCTACTGTACAGACGTGAATTTACATTTCCTTCAACCTGAGGCGTATTCATTACACTTTTGGTCTGAAAGTGCTTTTACATTTGTAAAAGAATAACTTTTTTATATTAAAAACAAACAAACAAGCAAGCCCTGCTCAAATTTCAAAAGTAACGTAACACATTACTTTCAATAAAAAGTAACTAAGTAATGTAATTAGATACTTTTTTAGGGAGTAACGTATTGTATTGCAATATTGTAATGCATTACTTTTAAAAGTAACTTTCCCCAACACTGCTGTAGATGACAGGATCGATGAGCTCTTACCTCATACTCCTCTTTGAAGCCGTAGCCCTCGGCGCATTTCATCTGCGTGATGTGCTGCAGAAGGTCGGCCACGCGGATGGCGGGATGCAGCTGGCCCGTGTGGTACGGCACATCCACGGCCTCGCGCTTGCGCAGCGAGTGTGTGTGCGACGAGTGTGTGTGTGTGTGCGACTGCACCAGGCTGCTGGTGTCACTGGTCAGGGTTTGAGTCTCATCTGCAACACAGGACAGAAAACACACATGATTACTTCAGGCCGAAGAACGCAGCGGTCAAACACATCACGCTTACGCTTCCTTTTACAGTGACTTCCTAATGGCCCTAAAGAATTCAAATGTTCATAATCAATCTTGAGCTGAAATGTAGTTATAAATTGAAAGAATACTTCACTTAAAATGAAAATGCATCATAATTTATTCACACTCACACCATTCCAAACCTGCATGCTGTGATTTCAAAATGTGAAATAATGTTAATAATATAATTATGTATAATATTATAACATAATATAAAAACAAATAATATAAAATAAAAATATAATATATACAAAGGGTTCATTTGCAAAAACACAGTTTTTTAAAAATCATGTTTTTTTTTTTAAATCCTGCATTCCAATTAATATGAATCAAACTGCAGTTGGGTTGTTTTGATTAAATAATAATAACTAAAAAAATAGAGCTAACACAAAACACAATAAAAACATGATAACACAATAAAAACATGATTAATAAAAACGGAGTTATCTGTTTTTGCAAATAAACTCTTCATATTAAAATTCAAAATTTGTATATAATAAATACAAGTAATTAATATAAATAAAAAATAATAAAATATGATTTATTCTGTGAAACAAAAAATAAAACAATCACACAACCCTGTTAAAAAAAACTCTGAAAACCAGCCTAAGCTGGTCTTTAAGCTGGATGTAGCTGGTTTAACCTGGACTTCCAATCTGGCTGGCTATAAAGTGGTCAAAACCTCTCTAAAACCAGCCTGTTAAACTAGCCAACCAGCTAACAATGGTTTTAGCCTTTTTTCAGCAGGGATATGATACTGTATGTAAGAGAGTGACTGACATTTAAGCTGTTATTCACTGAAAATGCAGAAACATAACAGAACAGTAACACCTTACAGGTTTGGAATAGCATGAGAGCAAGCAAATAAAGACAATGCACATTTTTAGCTGAACTTTTCTTTTTGAATAAGTAAGGCAAGACACTGCAGGTGAAAGGGATGGAAATTTAACTAATAAATATCACCGTTCTAGTAAAAAAATTCATTAATTTGCATACACTTCCACAGTATAAATCTGAACACTGGATAAATCCAGGATCAAAATTCTTGTTTGATTTTGTTGACATATTATAGTTTAAGGTTTTTACTGAAGTAATTGTGCATTTCTCTTTTTATCACTCCATAAATCAGAAAATACTGTCAACAGACAGAAAATTATTCATTTTCACTATGTTTTTAGGAATAAAATATTGTATAAATCAGTGTGAATTATATATATATATATATATATATATACAAACCCCTCAGTAAAACCCTTCAGAATATAGATAGGAATAAAACTAAGTTTTGGTGTGTGTAAGTGCTGCTGAAGTGGAGATAAAAACTCAGCACCTATAAATATACGCATTTTACCACGTTTTTAAGAGTAAAATGTTTTATCAATCAGTGTATATGAGAAAACCCCTCAGTACAAATCCTCAGAATATAGATAGGAATAAACCTCTAAGTTTTGGTGTTTGTAAGTGTTACTAAAATGGAGAAAAAACTGACCAACTTTTAAAGATTTGCATTTTTACCACGTTTCTAGGAGTAAAATGTTGTATAAATCAGTCTGAATGATGTATGAACAATTCCCTCAGTAAAAACCTCCAGAATATAGATAGGAATAAACCTCTAAGTTTTGGTGTTTGTAAGTGTTACTAAAATGGAGAAAAAACTGACCAACTTTTAAAGATTTGCATTTTTACCACGTTTTTAGGAGTAAAATGTTGTATAAATCAGTCTGAATGATGTATGAACAATTCCCTCAGTAAAAACCTCCAGAATATAGATAGGAATAAACCTCTAAGTTTTGGTGTTTGTAAGTGTTACTAAAATGGAGAAAAAACTGACCAACTTTTAAAGATTTGCATTTTTACCACGTTTTTAGGAGTAAAATGTTGTATAAATCAGTGTATATGAGAAAACCCCTCAGTAAAAATCTTCAGAATATAGATAGGAATAAACCTCTAAGTTTTGGTGTTTGTAAGTGTTACTAAAATGGAGAAAAAACTGACCAACTTTTAAAGATTTGCATTTTTACCACGTTTTTAGGAGTAAAATGTTGTATAAATCAGTGTATATGAGAAAACCCCTCAGTAAAAATCTTCAGAATATAGATAGGAATAAACCTCTAAGTTTTGGTGTTTGTAAGTGTTACTAAAATGGAGAAAAAACTGACCAACTTTTAAAGATTTGCATTTTTACCACGTTTTTAGGAGTAAAATGTTGTATAAATCAGTGTATATGAGAAAACCCCTCAGTAAAAATCTTCAGAATATAGAGAGGAATAAAACTCTAAGTGTTGGTGTTTGTAAGTGTTACTACAGTGAACAAAAATCTTTTTTAAAGATATATACTGTAACTGAAATCTACAGATGCAAATAGATGAAGTGCAATAAAATGTATATTTTGGATGTTTTCTTTCCACTAGTCTGAACGAAGACATGTTTTTCAAACTTGACCAGTGCAATGTTCCTCCTGTAAGTGTCTTTGCCTTAATTGCCTGTATTTTTCCAGATAATCAATCAGTGTAAAAGAAAGCGCTGGATTCATTGGCGATGGATGATCATGACACGACGTTGCAGGAAGGGTGGATGAGTGGATGTGGAGGGAGGGATCGATTGACTGCCCCGCTCGTTCATTCCTTCGTGAAATATCACGTGATGCTTCCTCTATAACTTCAAAGAAACACAGCCTATGTGCCTGTTTTGCCCTGATCTGAGATCTGCCATGAGGCGTGGGTGCTGTCAATCAACAGCAAAGCATGAGCGGATGAGTGATGACGGATGACGGATGTTCAGAACCACATGGGCCAAAGCACAACAAGCCAAAGCAAAGAGAGCACAAACACAATGCCGATGCACATGGGAGGAGGATGATGATGATGATGATGATGCTCCAGCGCCTCAGTAACCCTTACAGCGCTGCATCACGTATGAACGTGAGCTCAATTTGATTAGTACATGGGAAAGCTTCAATTTATCAGATTATGGACACCTTTTCACGGTCTACGATGACGCATTTCCGCATTAGCATCGTAAATCTAACAGTTTATTTATATTTGAATTTAATTTGTATGTATTTGTAACAATAGGCTATATTTTGTATATTACTAACCTCTAAGTTTTGGTGTTTGTAAGTGTTACTAAAATGGAGAAAAAACTGACCCACTTTTAAAGATTTGCATTTTTACCACGTTTTTAGGAGTAAAATATTGTATAAATCAGTCTGAATGATGTATGAACAATTCCCTCAGTAAAAACCTCCAGAATATAGATAGGAATAAACCTCTAAGTTTTGGTGTTTGTAAGTGTTGCTAAAATGGAGAAAAAACTGCCCACCTTTAAAGATGTGCATTTTTACCACGTTTTTAGGAGTAAAATGTTGTATAAATCAGTGTATATGAGAAAACCCCTCAGTAAAAATCTTCAGAATATAGATAGGAATAAACCTCTAAGTTTTGGTGTTTGTAAGTGTTACTAAAATGGAGAAAAAACTGCCCACCTTTAAAGATGTGCATTTTTACCACGTTTTTAGGAGTAAAATGTTGTATAAATCAGTGTATATGAGAAAACACCTCAGTAAAAATCTTCAGAATATAGAGAGGAATAAAACTCTAAGTGTTGGTGTTTGTAAGTGTTACTACAGTGAACAAAAATCTTTTTTAAAGATATATACTGTAACTGAAATCTACAGATGCAAATAGATGAAGTGCAATAAAATGTATATTTTGGATGTTTTCTTTCCACTAGTCTGAACGAAGACATGTTTTTCAAACTTGACCAGTGCAATGTTCCTCCTGTAAGTGTCTTTGCCTTAATTGCCTGTATTTTTCCAGATAATCAATCAGTGTAAAAGAAAGCGCTGGATTCATTGGCGATGGATGATCATGACACGACGTTGCAGGAAGGGTGGATGAGTGGATGTGGAGGGAGGGATCGATTGACTGCCCCGCTCGTTCATTCCTTCGTGAAATATCACGTGATGCTTCCTCTATAACTTCAAAGAAACACAGCCTATGTGCCTGTTTTGCCCTGATCTGAGATCTGCCATGAGGCGTGGGTGCTGTCAATCAACAGCAAAGCATGAGCGGATGAGTGATGACGGATGACGGATGTTCAGAACCACATGGGCCAAAGCACAACAAGCCAAAGCAAAGAGAGCACAAACACAATGCCGATGCACATGGGAGGAGGATGATGATGATGATGATGAAGATGCAGTGGACGAGTGATGCTGTAACGCGCCAATGGAGGGAGAGGGACGTGATTCTAGTGAAACACACAACCTCTGTCACGCTGATGAACTTACCATTAATGGGGACTTTTTAAGCAGATACATTAGAGGTTAAATGAGAGAAGAGAGAGACAGAGAGAGCGAGAGACAGCCAGAGAGAAGAGAGAGAGAGAGAGAAGACAGGGTTTAAGCAAGAATTACACCAAAGAGAACTAGCATAGCTCTGATCAGTCACAGGGCGATCGGGGATCCGGGTGTTATGGGACTCAAATCACAATGAAGGAGAAAAATGAGTTTCAAAACAAAAGAAGAAATGCAAATAAAATTGATGAACATTGCAATCGCTTCATGGAGATCTGCAGAGCAGCGGCCTCACACGGAGGAGGTCAAAGGTCAGACTCGTCATCTGTTAAAATTACGTGACCTCATTCTCAAAAATGATCTACAAAAAATACGGCTTCAGTGAGGATAAACATGATCTGTGCTGAACTCTATGTGTTTTGTGCAGCTTAAGGACAATACATGCATTTCATTAGAATTTAAAATGTAAAAAAATGTAACTAAAAATATAATAAAATAACTAACTACATAATACTATTATTGTTGTTATAAATTGCAAAAATAGAAAAATAGAAATATAATAAATTTATAAATTTATAAATGTAAAATTATAATTAAAAAATAAAATTATAATTAAAAACATAATAATAAAAATATACAAATACGAAAAATGAAAAAATAAATGTTAAAATAATAAATAGTAAAATAAAAAAAAATATAAAACAGAAATATATTAAATGAATTAAACTATAAATGAAAATTATAATAAACATCAAACAAATAAATATTTAGCAAAATTATAAAAAGACAGAGAAACAATACATGCATTAAATTATACATTACAATTATAGTAAATGAATAAATCATATAAATGAAAAAAATTCAAAATGATTAATAAAAATTATAAAACACAAATATATAT